ACCGCTGAGGAGCTGTTTTAGGGCAGGAAGGGTTTGCTGATAAGGCCTGTATAGCAGTGACCATGACTTAGGCCAGGAGAGAGCGTGGGGAGACCTTCAAGGGCCAGTGGGGAGATGGACAGAGGCCACAGAAGGTGTCTCCTGTGGACAATGCCTGGTGCGTGTGTTCCTTCTGGTCTGCCTTGTACCAGACTCTTCCCTAGGGAAGATAGAACAAGGTGCCCACCAACACTTGTGTGTACATGTGTGTGTGCAACTGCGTTGACACATAAGCAATCTACCACATGCAATGTAGAAGGTGCCTGATGGAAACAGACACAGTGTATCCTGGAAAAGGAGGAAGGAGCAAGAGCAAGAGCTTGGCTCAGTCCTCGGAGTTGCTGATGAGTTGTGGATGGCTGTAACGTGAGAGGAGGACCACCCCCTACACCCCACCTAGTCCATGTTCAGTCCCAGTGTTCCTGCTGGAATCATCCTCTTACACACACCTCTAATACACAAAAAGCCCTTCATGCATAATACAGCCACACCTCAGCAAACCTCCAGCAAGATGGGAGTCAGTTTACTCCCCAAGCCATTCCGCCTGAGTCTGGAGAGATGTGTGGGAGGCCCTGGGAGAGCAGAGGAAGAGACTTGACAATCATCCACAGCTCCATGAATGGCTGTGAGTTCCGAGCTGAGTTCTTGCTTTCTCCGCCCTCTTCTCTACCAAGATAGTCTGCGCGTTTCTATCAGGGCACTTTCTTTCAGTGTACCATTCTACACCATCTTTGTCTCCAAAGAGCCCTCTGGCTGCATTTTCTTCAAGACATATTTATTTATTCTCTTGGCCGTCGATGGGATGTTCAGTGCTCTTCTCCAGCACCACAGCTCAAAGGCATCAATTCTTCTTCTGTCAGCCCTATTCATTGTCCTGCTCTCAGATGCACAGCAAGTGATCAGAAAGACCATAGCCTGAATCAGATACACCTTAGTCCTCAAACTGACATTATTACTCCTCATAATTTGGATAAGTCCCTAAATGTAGATTTTCCCAGTGTAATACTCCTCCTGATTTCCTGACTGCTCATAGAAAGGATGTTAATTGTGGATCCAAGTAAGATGTAGTTGTTGACAGTTTCCATCTTTTCTCCATCTATCATGATGTTGCCTAGTGATCCAGTGGTTAAAAAAAGAAAAAAAATCTCTGTTTTTTTGACATTGAGATGCAATCCATATTGAAGGCTGTGTTCTTTGATCTCCTGCAACAAGTGTTTCATGTCATCCTCACTTCCAGCAAGCAAGGTTGTGTCATCTGCGTAATACAGGTTATTGATGAGTCTCCCTCCGATCCTGATTCCTCTTCATAGAGTCCAGCTTCTTGAAGTATTTGCTCAGCATACAGACTGAATAGGCAGGGAGAGGAAATACAGCCCTGATGCTCTCCCTTCTTTATTTTAAACCAACTGGTGCTACTTGCTCTGTGTGCACAGCCGAGTCCTGGTCCAGGTGTAGGTTTTGCAGGAGCACATTCACAGCTTGTTATGAGCCACACAGTCAAATGCCTTTGCATAGTCAATAAAGCACAAATGGACGTGGGATTTACAGCCCCGGGAACCCTACTGTAGGGTCAGTTATGAGTCAGTTCCAACTCAGCACAGCAACAGGAAGATGAACTGAGAGGAGAGTGACACAGGCTATATAACTAACAGCAAACTTCTCGGTGGGAAACTCACTCCCCACTCTCCTTCCCAGGAGATTTTCTGTTGGAGAGTAGGATGCGTTTACGTCTCTCCCACAGTTCACCGTTCTCAACAAGCAGAGCTCAGGCTTCCAGCTCGTGTTTCCCAGGTAATAGCACATAGCTAACGTTTACTATTCTTCTGCTTTTATGACACTCATTCTTCTATGTATGGCAGATGATGATGCTTTCTTTCACTTGTTAGGTGCCACTGAGTCAACGACACGTCACAGCAACCCTGTGAGCAACAGACCTGGACGCTGCCCTGAGCCGGCGTCTCTGCCACGCTCAATCCCACCGGTGGGCAGCGTGACGGCCCTTCTCAGTGACCGCCGTCTGTCCCTCGCTTGCTGACGATCTACCTTTCACAGCATGGTGTCTTTGTCCAAGAACTGATCTCTCCCAATGACCTGCCCAAAGTATGTGACATATACTCACAGTAACTCAGTATGGATTTTAAACAAAGAAGTATAAAAGGTAAATAATATAAATATATAGGAAAATACCAGAGAAAGCTAAACATAGAACAGAAATCCTGACGATGGCAACAGAATACCAAACATTCTGAAAAGCTTTCAGACAGGACAAAACCCAGCAGTCTGATACTCTGCTCTCACAAGACTTTTCAGGGATCAGCACAGGGAAGTGGAGAAAACTCACAATGAGGCAGACAAATGTTCAAGCCTGGCCTTTGCCCTGACTCGCTGGGCAGTCTTGGATAAACTCGGTGAGAACCCTGTCTCACTTCTTTGATTTTAAGGAAAGTGGGCTTCCAGGACTGTAAGGATTAGAGACAATGAATACACGGGCCATGGACAAGAGTCGTTAATGGAATGCCCTCCTTCAGAGCTTTCCACGGCCCAACATCCTGCCTGGCTCTGACCTCGTTCCTCTAAATCTGTGACACTTTATGTCTGCAGAGCTGTCATTGCTTTTAGAAAGACATCAAATATTTGATTTCTCTTTGTTTCCTGGTTCACTCATACAGGAAAGAACTCAAGTTAATGCTCTTAGCTGTTCCTAAGTCAGCCCACGTGGTACAAATGGAGGAGGGGACCAGGCACTGAGTCCAAGTCAGGCATGTCTGCGTTTCATTCCAGTATTCTCATGGAATGGTTTTTGGTCACCCTTCAAAACCCCTCTGTACAGCCGTTCAGTGGTACAGGTGGGCCCTGGTGGAGCAGTGGTTGAAGCACTCGACTAGTCACTGAAAGGTTCATGGTTTAAAGTCACTGGTCACCCCTTCAGAGAAGGATGTGGCATTTTGCTTCAGAGAAGGCCACAGCCTTGAAGGCCATTGGGACAGCTTCATTCTCTGCCACAGGACCACTACGTGCTATAATCAGTGTGGTGGCAATTGGTTGGATTTTTTATTCTGATGTGGCACTATCAGTTGGTTTTCAACCCGAAGACAGGCAGTTCAGATCCACCCAGCAGTCCTGCAGAAGAAAAGGCCTGGCTGGCAGTACCCTTCTGGAAACGTTATGCCCGAGAAAACCCTCTGTGGCTCATGGGGTCCCAGAGAGCCAGGATCAGCTCAACCAACAACACACACACACCAGGGCTGCATCTCAGACAACCTTAAAATATGGAGCAAAAGAGGATAAGAAACCACTCAATCCATATCCCACAGTTCTGGCCTCATTCCGTCATCACCGCTTCTCTCCTGAAGGCAGCTCTGGTGGTCTGGTGGGGAAGGAGTTGTGTTGCCCACCCAAAGTCAGGCAGTTCCAATCCACTAGTTTCCCCTTGAGAGAAAGCTGGGCGTCTCCTCCTGTGTGATGTGAAACCACACTCGGGGATGAGCGATGGGCTGGTTCCGACTCCATGGCAATGAGTTTCCCTCCTTACCCCGCTCATCCTCCCCTCACCATGACGAGTAGGGCCTGAAGATGCTGCTGAGAAGCAAGCACGTTTTCTCCCATGCTGACATCTTGCTTAGTATGAGACGCACTGGACCAGCAAGCCTCTCTGAGTGAGCAGTCTGAATTGCCACTTCTTGGGAGATGATTAAAGTCGCTATAAAACCAGTTCCCTCTCAAACAAGAGGAATGACTTCCATTTTCCAAATCCCGCATCTACTTTTTGGGGGAAATCTGTCATGAGAGGATTTTCCTCCCCTGTCTGCTGACCTCTGTTTCCATTTCCTGGAAGTGTTTTATTAAGTGGGCTGCATCTCCTATTGCCAAAAATAGCAGCGCAGACACACTGCCCTGAGTGGACGTCCAGCCCCCAGGGACTCTGCAGGATGCAGGACGTTCCTGTGGAAGAGGCTGCCACGGCTTTCCCTGACTGGCAGGTGGGTTTGAACCAAGACCTCTGGGCAGCAGCTGAGTGCTGTGGCCTCTGCACCGCCCGGCGCTCTCTCTTTCTCTCCAGTCACAAAGGTGCATATACACACAGGACCACCCTGAGAAGCTCATGTGCTGCCTGGCTGTTGAGGGTGCAAGCACTGGACACAAGCCGTTTGTGACTGTGTCTTTCCCCTTTCCATGTCCCCATAGCACTGCCTCGCTGCTTCCCAAGTGAACTCCCCATTTCAAAGAACCTGATACTGTTGTGCCTGATAACAAACGTGTATACTTCATAAGCGCTATTTTTAGAAATATCATTCCCACGGATTAGAAGGGATGGGATGACATAAACCTCAAGCAGCAAGATGGATGCATGATTTCAAAAGAGAACACATCATATTATTCGTTTTCTAAAAGCTTGTTTCCCCTAGGACAAAGCCTGAGACTAGAAACCCTTCTGACTGACTGAAAAGATAGCAGCCTACCATGCTCCACCCTCCACCCAAAACCAACATGACTTTGAACTTCTGAAGGATCCTCCCAGCTCACTAGTGATCTTAAGGCTTGTTACCCGTTGGGGTCACAGAAAGTCCCACAAGCCCTAGATTCCAGCATAACCGATCACGCACGCAAGAGGACAACTGCACTTCTAAGGCTTCACGTTTTTCTTTGTCACATTCATTTCCAAATCTGTATGTGAAGCACAAGGTAAGCAAGGGGTCTCCAATTTCACTCTGACAGAGGTTCTCAGCGGAAAGAGAAGGACTGTGTCCTTGCTAAACTCTCTTAACCTCAAGAGCTGAATGTTCCAAGTTCAAAGAGACCCCCACTGCCCGCTAGCTCTGCACAATGCCAAGTCTACACAGCAGTGAGCCGCGTCTGAGCGCCTAACATGGATTGTCAGACTCTGAATCGCAAAGCAGCCAAAGACCAACACCCAGGAGCAAGCCCCCCCACCTCCACGGACGGCATGCACCAAAGGGTACCTGCTCCTCCGCCCGGCGGCTCCTCAGCGGCCAGAGGTACCTCCAGATGGCATGGAGAGGGGATTTCTTGAAATAAGCGCATCTGGACTGAGGCAGCAGATTATCCATAGTGAGGCGGGCCAGAGGGTCTCTCCCGGTCAGCGGCCACTGATGGGAACTCAGAAAGTCACAGCTCCGGGAGCTCAGCCACTCGCCTGCAGGCAGCGGATCTGTCCCCTCCCAGGCTGCTTCCTCTTTGGGGTAGAGCCTCTGATGAAGCCAGCCAGTAGGAGCAGGGCTAGGAGGGTCCTGGCAGAGCCATGCCCCAGGACAGCGCGGGGAGGACTTGAGGGGCCGGCCGCACCACGAGGGCGCCTAGCCCTGCCTGTCCTATTTCTAGCGGCAGCTTGGGTTGCAGGCTGTGTTAATATTAGCTGGCTGCGGCCGTGGCCTCCCACGGGCTCTCACGAGGGTTCGTCCAGGCTCCCTGGCGACCTCGCTGGCTCCTGACCAGGGCGCAGCCGCTGGCTCTTCCAGCTTCCTCTTGGAATGCCTCTCAGCCGAGCAGACGCAGGCAGAACGCAACGGCATCTCGGCTCCTCAGTGCCGAGCCCGTTCACGCTTGAGAACCATTTCAGGAGACTTGTAAGGAAATGAACAAATTACCCTGCTTGCTCTGGAGGAGTTCAGTGTCAGCCCGGGAAGGCTTGGCTTACCCTGCGATGCATCGTGCAAAGTGCCCCATGACCAGACTCTGTACTTTAATTGAACAATAGCTGCAGACAGATTCTGTTCTGAGTTAAAAGGTTTCTCTCCTTGAACGCTTATCTCAAATACCCAGGCCGAGTCCAGGAACAGTATGTTCAGATTCTATGCCCGCACAGGGAGGAGGAAATGCTAGATATTTACTTTCTAGATTTTTTTTTTTATAAAAAAGGGCTCATGTTTAAAAAAAACAAAGCCAAATACAATAAGAGGTCTGTCACTGGAACCAACTCACAGCTGGGTTCCTGGAGGCTGTAAATTGCAGAGCAAGAGACTTCCGTGTCTTTCTCCCCTGAAGCAGCTGATGGATTCAAACCACCTGCCCTGGGTTGATGCTAACTAAACCACCAAAGTTCCCTCTGTCATCCTTGAGGACATGAAGTCACACAAGTTGAAAGTCCAGTATTTCCCTAACACCCCAGCGGTCGCAGTGTTTCTGGATCAAGTGCCCAAAGGGCCTTTGCTGTCTTTGTTCCTTTAAATTTTGTGGGGTCTGTTCATTTGATGGAAATAAATGGTGATCTTTGCAGAGGTGTCACATCATGACGAGGCTTGCTGGGGAGCCCAAGATCAGGAGGCCCAGAGACTTGCTCTGGACAGAGAGAGACTGTGGGTCCTTGCCTCCCGGGAGTAAGCGCCACACTTGTGGGGAGCCACGGTGGGCAGAGCTGGAGACGTGTGGCTGCAGCTGAGCTGTGCCCGGGCAGCTGCCCTGGCGGTCCCACTGGGACACTGCCTTCAGGGAACACACTGGCTGAGCCCTAACGCTGAGCTGCCAGCAGCCAGGGCCATCTGGTCGACTGGCAGCCTGCCCACTAGCAAGGTGATCTTCCAGAGTCACCAGGGTCAGGCGAGCAATTCCAGGAACCATTTCCATGATGTTGTTGCAGCCAGCTCAGGGAGGCCCGCCCTCCTGTCGCCTCCGATGGGCACCCTCCTGCTCTCAGAAGCCCTGTTCATCCTCCAGACATCGGACTCTAATGAGGACAAGAGAAGAGGAGCCAGAGGCTAAGGGCAGAGCTCGCTGCTGGCTCCCAGCCCAGCAAACAAGGCGCGTGCAATCCTCATGCCTGGATTAACTAGAGGCTTTGCACACAGGGGTGGCCCTGGGGACAGAGGTGAAGCATCAGGAATCCATAGGCGGCCCTCTTCGAATTCCTGAACCTTCAGAGAGGCCTCGTGTCGTGCACACAGTCAGCAGCCTGTCATAGCCTGCTCTTCACAGCCTTTCCCAGAGGACAAGCCAGAAGGGGACTTTGCAGATGGCTGCTCAGGGTAACTGTCCCCTGGGCTGTGAAGAGCGATGAAAACAGGGCGGGAGAGGGGGACAATCCCAAAGCAATAGGAAAACTTTACCCTGACTCTGTTGAATACAGCATAAAAATGGTGGTTATAAAATAATTCCTTTGGGTAGTCAATTGATAACAAAGTCTGCTAAACTGTTTCGGGGTTTTTGTGTCAGGCCCTGTGCAGAATTCTTTCTATGCTCATCTTATGTAATCTTACAGTACTCTGTAGGGAAGCCAAGGCTGAGAGGCATTTAGAAAGGAGTAGTAAGCTCCCAAGCTACAAATCAGAGGAGGAGGGACTCTGGCCAGCGGCTCCTAACTGCTGAGCTTTTAGCCCAAGTCAGTTCACTGCAGATTCTCAAACAACACCCAGGAGTGAACTTCGGAGGGTGTCCTTGTCCCTTCGGATACGGCTCTGAGGAAGGAAAAGTATGGAGCTGCCTCATCCACGGGAATTTTTCAGTCTCCTCATACAAATGTGAAAATAGGGCCACAAATAAGGAAGACCAAACCAGAATTGTTGCCTCTGAATTGTGGTATTGGCAAAGACGATGACACAGGCCATGGACACCGACTGCCAGAAGAACAAACAGGCGTGTCACGGAAGGCGTGCAGTCAGGTGCTCCCCAGGGGCAGGCATGGGGCCACTTCATCTCACAGGCTGCGGGCATGTTGTCAGGAAAAGGACGTCATGCTTGGAAGGGTAGAGGGTCCACGAAGGAGGGGGAGACCCTCAAAGGGGATTGTCACAGTGGCTTCAACGCAGTGGTGGTTGTGGGGCCGACTCAGGAGCAGTGCCCGTGGGCTTGCTGAGAGTCAGAACTTTCTGCAGTACATTAGCTCCCTGAGGAGGTGAGTACTCCTCCTAACACCACGCCCACTTCTGTCCAGTCGATTCTGACCTGTGGACATCCCCCGTATCATGGAGTAGAAATGGGCCCTGCACGATTTTCTTGGCTCGGATCTTTATAAAAGAGCTTCTCAAGCTTTTCTTCCATGCCTCTGCTTAGTGGCTTCAACGTGTCAACCTTTTGGTTATCAGTCAAGAAAAAACCTTAATACTTAGTTCTTTAAAAAAATTGTTGTAAAATATATAAAGTACAGTATTTGTCAATTTCATTACCTCTTCAAGATTCCTTTATGAAATTATTCCCATGAGTTTGAAAAGGAGCTGTATTCTTAGATTTTGCTTTTCTGCTGCCTACATTTTGAAAACTCTTGCAATCTCAGTTTCTGGTTGAGACAGATTGCAGTGGTCTTTTCAATAATTAATACAAATATAAGTGAGGGCTCTTGTTTACCTGTTGTTTGGGTGGTGGTCTTCGTCTCCTACGCCCTGTATACGGAGCAATCTCTGCTCAGAGGGCCGGCGTTTTGGATGGCCACTGGTGAATGACGCGGTTCACCTTGGGGAAAGCCAGCTGACCTGAGTGCTGGTCAGTGGCTACAACGTGTTTCTGGGAGGACCAAAGGAGCCCAATTTATCTACATCAGCTGAAAAAAGGACAGGGAATGTTTACCTCTTGTTCTCACGGCTCACTCCTCCGTTTCATCCTATCTTCAACGGAAACATGACTGGGAAAGACATTCTATATGTACTGTTTGGTTTCCAAGGATTTTTTTCACCCCCACAAAGGGCCTAAAATTTGCGAGATCACTTTTTTTTCCCCTTGAAGGGCAACGGTGTGGTTAGCGCCATTGAGTCAACAACAATGCACAGCAGCTGTATGAACCAGAGACTGAACCCTTGCCCTGCCCTGCACCGTCCTGTGATTTCCACTCTGCTCAAACCACTGTCCCAATTACTGGGTTAACCCATCTCTTTGAGGGTCTTCCTTTCTTCCACTGACCCTTTCCCTTTCCCAACGCAGTGTATTTTCCCAAGAACTGATGCTTACGGACGACACGCCCACGTTTCCTCCATCCTGTCCTCAAAGGAGCACCCTGGTTGCACTTCCTCTAAGATTTGTCAGTCCATCATATCTCAATTCTCTCTGCCAACACCACAATTCAAAGCCATCAGTTCTTCCCTATTTAGTATCCAACTTTCAGATTCATACATAACGAATGAAAACATGGCTTAGATCAGGTGTGCCTTAGTCCTTAAACTAACATTCAGCACTTTCAATAGGTCCTTGACAGCAGATTTCTCCAATACAACACACCTTTTTATTTTTACCATGGGTATTGATTATAGATATAAACAAAATGATGTCATTAACAACTTCAAGCTTTTCCCATCTATCATGATGTTTTCTCTTAGTAGATTTGTGGGAATTTTGTTTTCTTGATTTTGAGAAGCCGTTCATATTGAAGCCTGTAGTCATTGATCTTCTTCATTTTCTTTCTTTCATTTTCTGCATAACACAGGTTGTTGATGAGTCTTCCTCCAATCCTGAGGCCACAGTCTCCTCCATAGAGTCCAGGGTCTCTAATGATTTGCTAGAGTACAGACTGACTAGGTGCAGAGAGTGGGTGTACAACCCTGATGTATCCCCTCCTGATTTTAAACCATGTTCCCTTCCTTTCTGTCACCAAGTCCATGTTTTCCAACTATGGAGCCTTCTTCTCTGTCCCCAACTTTTGCATTCTAGTCACTTATTATTATTAACGTATCTTGATTGCATGTTTGATTGATCTCTGACTGCAAAAGTTTTGGTAGAAATCTTCAATTTCCTCTTCTTTGGCTCTGGTTGTTGGTGCATATATCTGAATGATAGTGTAATTCAATGGACTTCTTTGTATGAGTAAAGATATTATCCTGTCACTCACCACATTTTGTTTCAAGATGGATCTAGAAATGACTTTTTTTAACTACGAAAGCAACCCCATTTTTCCTCACTTTTTCATCTCCAGCATAGTAGATCATATGATTGTCTGACTCAAAATGTCCCATGCCGGTTCATCTCATCTTGACAATACCTAATATATCAATATTTAGGCATTTCATTTTCCCCTTAACAATATCCAGTTTTCCTGCATTCATTGTTCTCACATTCCATGTTCCAAACACTAGTGTCTCCTTACCACTAGGCTGATTGGCAGCATCAGGATGGATGGTGAAGAGATTGAGAT